AAGGGTATGGAGAGACTAGAACCTTCATACCCTGCTGGTGGGGCTGAAAAATAGTGCAACCTCTGTGGAAAATGGTATGGCACTTCTTTAAAAAGCTGGAAATAGAAATACCACACGATCCCACTAGTAGGTATGTATCCTAGAGAAATAAGAGCAATGACTGGAACATATATATGCATACATGTGTTCATCACAGCACTATTCATAATAGCAAAAAGAAACAACCTAAGTGCCCATCAACAGAGGAATGGATCAACAATCTACAGTACACACACAAAATGGAATACTACATAACATTACAGAAAAATGATGAATCTGCGAAATAACTCATAACATGGATGAACCTCCAGGCTCGTCCATATTATGAGATATTTAACAGATATTTAACATAATGAGGATGAGCCTCATTATGTTAAATGAAAGTAATCAATCACAAAAGAACAAATATTGTATGACACCACTATTGTAAAAAGTCAAGAAAATGGTTTTCACAAAAAGAAATATTATTTGATAGTTACCAATGGTGGGAAGGGAAGGGAGAATAAACTACTAACTAGAGGGCAGACACATATTTAAAAAATAATAATAAAAATAAACAATGTATGATTTATCAATACCTTTAAAAAAAAAAGAAAGAAATACAAATATTATTCTTATCACCTTTCCACTCAAGCCCTTCAAACATAGTGGCTGTTTTCCACTTAATTACTTATGCAAAAGATTCACAAACTCTTTCACACACAGTAAAGAGTTCTTACAAGTCACTTACAGGAAAGTAGGTTTCCACAATTTCAAAATTAAGAAATCCAATTATAATCCAAACCAAGAGGGTAGCAATGGAAACAATAACGATAAAAGGAACAAAGTAGCCACTGAGTTTGTCTGCAAATTGCTGGATAGGAGCCTAGAATTAAAAAAATAATAATACATCAAAGGAAAATATAAAAACTATATCAAGATGTACATTGATAGGCTTTAAACAAAATACTCTTTAACCTAGGCAATTAAGTTACCTTTGATGTCTGTGCCTCCTCCACAAGTTTGACAATTTGAGAAAGGGTTGTGTCTGCTCCAACATGAGTTGCTCGGATAAGCAGTGATCCATTTTGGTTAATGGAACCAGCAATTACTGAACTACCAGATTTCTTAGCTACAGGCATCGCCTCCCCTGAGAAATAAAGATAGATTTAAGG